AACGTTCCACATAAATGAATTGTTACAGGATTCCTTCAGTCATGCAAGGTTGTAACGATAGGCCAAACTGTCGTGTGAAACACATGGAAGTAGCGATAACTTGGCCTAATTATTTGTACACCATTTATTACCACCGAAAAAATCACAGAACCGAAGCGCACCTGCGTAGCGTGCTGTGGTTTTCGTCCACCATAAGACACCGGACCATATAAATTCAGAAATATTGAAAATTATAACGTTTCCAACTGAATGCTGAGGTTTCTATATTCTATGATCCCCACGATCATTTTCATCCCACCTTTAGTGCAATCGTTCAATATTAATAATAATAATAATAATAATAATAATAATAATAATAATAATAATAATAATAATAAGTCAGACTATCGTTGCCCACTAAAAGCGACACCTCCCAAATATTGTCATTTTGCAGGAAAACTGTTCCGGGCGGATTATTTTGGCGTCAAAGAAGTGTTTTACCATGCATCTCGACTATCTTATGACCAAGATTTATTAAGTTTTCACGCTCAGCAAAACTGTCAAGTCAAGTAAAAATTGACTTATTCTCTAAACATATTTCATTTATATAATTTTGTTTGTTTGTTTGAAATTTCCCTTCTTGTGCAAAGACGATATGTGATCTGGAGAGTCACCTCTTTGCAATGCTATGCCAAATAAAAGGACGATTAGCAGTGCCAAAAATAACGTGAAACTAATTTGTACATCGAGGTGACACAGTCTTTCTAACCGTGGCAAGTGTTTGGATCGACTGTCAACAAATAATTATATTTTTAACAAAAAAACTCAGCCGTTTCTCTGTCTCCACGCTCCGCAAACAAAGGATGCTTAGCTGCTCCGCTGCGCAATGTGAAGTTGTACTGCTGCCAAATTTCAAGGTCTTTGTGAGGCCGGACACTGCACGATGCGGAATCTGTCCATCGGTTGGGCGATGCCCAACGAGCTGCACGCATGAAGTAAAAAACAAACCTGTCCTGAGTATATCTAGTTTATTTACCAGCATTTTTAATTCTATAGCGTACGTGTATCTTTTGATGTGTCAATTGCCTTCACACCTTGAAGTACATTGTTTAGTTTTCATCCAGATATTTCCCCCTTTTATTTCCAGCATTTCGTTTTACGCTATATATCTCTTCAATTGTTTCAGCGTTCTGTATGCTAAACTCCGAAGTGAGTTTTTATTCGGGGAACTTTGAAGTAACTTCACAAATCTCATCCTTGATTATTTTTCTATAATCTTCCTTCAATTCACAAATGTCCGAGTAAAAGTTCACTTCATACAGTCTAGTTAACGTGACCTTGAAAATAGTCTTGACTAGTTGGTAATTAACCAAGAAACTTCCGGGCTACGAGAGACGCATGCAATTGCACCATTGGATGTACTACAAAAACACCGATTTATTTGACAAACTACTAGTGTCACAAAAGCACACACTTTCTACAACTACTTGTATAAACAATATTACAATACTGAAAACTGTTTCCTACTAATTCTGTAGTCATAACGTGAAACACCATATTCAGTCAAAGAAGCGGGAAATATTCGAATTAGCAATTTTGGATAATTTGCAATTTTCGAGAGTTAGCATGTTTGAATGAAAATGTTGTGGCATATTTATATACACAATTTGCACTAGTCGTGAGGAAAAAAAAAAAAATCCCCCGAGAACCCAACTTCGGCCTTCGGATTGGGACGCCGGAGCAAGACGCACTTAGCTACTGAGCGCAATGATACTGTTTGGTACACGTCCGAAATGCTTAATATATACGTAATTGTGGGATTTAACAAAAAATATAAATATTTAACTCAATATTCCTCCAAAACTATTAATTTCTCGAAAAATTGCAAACAGAAATATTTGAAAATCTAACACTGAGAAATATGCCATTAAGAACGAAATTTCTATTTTGATTGTTACAGTTGTAGGACAGGTTCGACAATTTTCAAAATCTCAGACGTTTTAATGAAAATCAGACCTATGTTTATAAAACGGGCACGCTTTATTTGAGCGAGAACAAACTGAAGCAGTTTTTGAGAGAAATCTGTATATTTTTCTTAAATTGTCACTACTTGATTCACAGGTACACAGGTCCATTTGCCAATAAAACATTACATTTTACATTATTTAAGGACCTAAATTTGAAGATCAGATTTTATTATTGAAAACACGTCTTAACAAATGTAATAGGCGCGCCTTCCCCCCCCCCAAAAAAAGATGCGTTACAAATTCGAGAGACCGCGACATCACCCAGATCCATCGGGAAATTCGAGACAGTAACAATGTGATAAAATACGCTATGTTCTACAGTAAAGACTGCTTCCCGACGGAGATCCAAAGAACTCCCTCATCTATGAATTATCACGGTACTAGCGAGTGACAGGCGTCGATCTACCGTCGCCATACCACTTAGAAACGAATGGAGGCAATCGAAGGATGGCATGTCACAATTCAGAACTCAAAGGAGCGTAGGCATACACAGCCTAAAACACGAAGGGGGGAATTACATTTTTGGGCCACTGTCCCCACTGGGTCCCCTTTTCTATTAAACTTTTTTAGTAACAAATTATTTCACTAGTTAAGAAATAAAATATAAAACAAGGAAATTAAATAATGATCATGATACAACTAAAATTCAATTGATTTTATGCAGAACTATTTACATAGTTGACAGATGGTTAGGCGAGCTTCTTTACCGAAAACGATGAATCAATTGTCCAAATTATCAGATTTAAAAAAGTGAAAAATTCCTGAATTGATCATATTAACGGAAATAAAATGTTTCCTTACGTAGGACTACAGGGTCCCTTTGGAAACTTTCATCCCGATTTTACGAAGACTTTCTTCGCACTTTTACTGCAAACACCCTTGGTGAATAAAATTCAAGCAATACAAGCCGTTTGGGTGTCACGAGTTGGACGCCCCGAGGTATAAAATATGAAATTTTAAGCGCGAGCAACGCAGAGCGACCAGAATAACGGTTTCTGCAATCGATAAAAACAAACCAGTGGTGCTGCAACAGCATAGTTTTTCGAAATTATTTGTACCAGTTCCGTAAAACACGCAATTCCAGTTGAACCCGCAAAACTGTCAAGACTGGAATTCGAACTTAGGCATTGCTTTTCCGCAAGTGGCTTGAGACAGGAAGCCGTCTGGAACAGCGGTTATAGCTCAATTTTAATCCTTTCTTGACGTGCCGGTAAATCCTCTAAAACCAAACCACTCATTGCAAAAGAACTGAACATGAAATGATTTAAGTACCTGAAACCGAGGGAAGGATTACATTAAGAAATAAGTCCCTGGCTTCAATATTAAAGGTGTAGAACAGGTTCGAAAAAAAAATTCAATAAGCAATTTTCAGAATTCCAAATTTTTAATGATAATTTAATCTAGGCCATAACATAAAGCCAACTTTGCTCTAGTACAGCAAAAAGAATTAACAAAATATATTGAAAATTTTGTTTAAGATTTTTTTTCAAAAAATTTCCATTATTTCTCACAATTATGTGAAAAGTACTCATACTTTTAAAAATTGTTGACATTATACAAAGACCTAGTTTTGAAGACCAGATTTCATGCAGAAAAAAAAAAAAATGTTCAATTACAATATCTCTTTTTTAAAACTTCTGCAATTTTCGAAAACTGAAAGCCAAAAATAAATTAATAAAATAATAAATTGAAAATGTCATAGAAGCTTGGTTAATTCTTCCCCAAATTAATAAAGAATTTCAAATTTGACAGGCCACGACATCAGCCAGATTGACATGGAAATTTTAATTTCTGTCAAAATACTGTGTTCCCTAGGATTGTTCTCCGACAGACACTTGGGGGGAAAAACACTTTCAGCATCAGGGATGCACAAAACTTATTTTTCTGCCAAAAAATATACACTTTATTCTGCAGCTAACTTAAACTTTCTGCAGAGTAGACGCAAGAAAGTAAAAACAGACAAGGAAATGTTCCTTGAAAACTTGAGATGCAGTTTACATGAAAAATATGTGACCCATACTTTCAGGTATTGGTCTCAAAAAACTGGATATGGGAGACACCCCGGCTATCCAGAAAGGTTCCACAAACACATTAGGTTACAAAATCTAATGTGTTTTCAATGATTTAGCATAGATTATGGCTTACAAGTGATACTTCAATGACTCACTGTTGTCATTAGACACTGGTAGATAATATTTTGAGAAATGTTGACACTGGGTCAACAGATCTTTGTATGACTGATACAATTGACAGTAGAGGAATGTTATACTCAATGTGATAAATACAGTAAGCAGTTGCACAATTTTTCTCAGGAAAATCCTCCACTCCCGTGAGTGGCAAATGAACGTGGTATGAAGTTCTGTAACTTTTAGACACTCTGAAATTTCCAGTTGATTTTAAACTTTTCATTTTATTTCTCATATAAATGCCATTCACTGCTCAATGATTCAGGAGACTAAGGCTTAACTTCCACTCTCAATGCTCTTTCCTCTTATTTCGCAGTATCACTATGATTAGTTTGTCTCTTAAGAAAACCTATTCCAAACAGAACTCGCTGACAATTCCTTGTCAGTTCCAGGTTATTCTCATCTCTTGACCACTTTGATTAGGTATCCAAAATAATTACAAGTTCACTGGGATTGGAGAGAATAAAATCATTTTAAGTTGCACAGTGCCCAAGTGAGATTTAATACTGCATTGATGAACACTAAAATACATATTTCATCAATCAACACCTTACTAGAATGATGAATTTGTATTGAAGTCAGTAATATCTTATATCATTAATACAAGTTGCCAAGCCAACTATTCTTAAGAAACAAATAATTATAAATACTAACTGAATATTCATTCTAAGTAACAAACGGATTGCAACATGCAGTGTGAAAAATAATTGAAAGATTGTCACCATAGAATTAAGTAGATTAAAAAATTATTTCTCACAATAATTGTGAGAATTTCATGAGAAATCAAAAATATTGCCATTATACTAACCCCAGCAGGATTTTTAACGAAGTAACTTCCACTCGATCCTTGTGATATTCTTTCTGGATAAATGCCATTATCAATAGCTGTCTCGGCCTGGCGAACCAGCTCTGAAAATTGTGGATCATCTGGAAAGAAGTAGCAAAGATATCAATAGAAAGAAAGAAATCAGCAGCGGTTACTAGAAACTGAAACACAATTGTGAAAAAAAAATCATTAATATATTTTATAAATTCACTGGCCACTTATAATTTTGATAGTATCAAGGTTTAAAAATTTAAGCAAAAAGTATCGAATAGTATAGGGTTATAAAAGGGGCAAAGCCAGATACAAAAATTTGAAATAATACAGAACGAAAGGTATTACTAATTTGGAGTTCTCTCATAAACATGCTTTCCAGTTTTCATTAATATTCATAATTCAAAAATTCCAAATTTCTATTAGGGACTTCTGTTTACAAAGGATTGATCAGCATGAAAAGTCACCTCCAGTGTTGGTTTCATACATCTGGAAACCATTAAAAGAAATTAGGAAAATGACTGGCCAAGTGCTATTGCATTCACCAAAGACAATAATGCACATTAAACTACTAGTTGCAAGCTGAGATCAAATCATGAGTTTCAATCATAAATGAACTTCTATAGGTATTAATAAGTAATTATGAACATACTAGGATTGAAATGCACTGTCCATTATAATGCTACAATTTTAAAAAGAACTAGAAAACAAAAACAAATAAATAATGCAGGAAGATCATGAAAACTATCCTATTAATACAGTGACGAAAACTTACAATAAAAACCATAAACAAGCCAGCAGTTATGATTTTAACATATTTTTTCATTTATGCAAATAAAATAAGTGAAAGGGAGAGAGTTAATGAACCTTTTGAGGTATTGTAAAGAATGACTTGTTCAATCCTACAGACTTAATAATAATAATAATAATAATAATAATAATAATAATAATAATAATAATAATAATAATAATGATAATGATAATAATATGAATATTTGTCACATAAATTACAGCATATGCTATGTATGACAAGTCAGGATACGTATATAATTAACAATACACAATTCAGATACTTCTAAAAATTAAATACAAGACATAAATTAAATTTGAAATTCAATTCTCGTATTAAATACAATATCATGGAAAGCTATAATATAAATGAATATTAATTTTATAATGGTAGTGTAAGGAGACTTAGGTTAAAAATCAATAATAATAATAATAATATATATAAAAAAAAAAAAAAGGAATTCTTCATAGGTTTGTGCCCAGGCTGGGTCTGACCTTTATATCCCACAACCAGTTTAGGGGGGGTTGAAAACGTGCAAAAGAAAAAGCAAAAATTATTAGTACTATATTCATGTGGATGTGTGTTTATGATGCAAATATTCTTTTGTGTTTTATTGAAATTTATTTCATTTATGATTATAATTTCATTAATAAAATTAAATACAGTAATGTTTTGTATGTGCTGCTTCTCTGTGTTGAATGTGTACTTTTAAAGTTTTTTAATCAAAGTGCTCAAGTATCAACTTCATTGTTTCAGTGGATAAGTGATACATCTGAACTAACAATTATCTTTGTTTCAATTTTACCCAGTAAGTAACTGAAAAAATAAAGACCCTCTAAAAGAGAAACTTGAAAGTCTCACATTTTCATTCACTTTCACTAATACAGTCAATTATATACAAAGTAACAAATTGTTGGATTCAATATCTATCCATGTTCTTTATTGTAAGAGCATAGTAAAAAAAGGCATTTTGAACAGAAATATATCAAGCCATTTATTTAAACAAATGCATTATTCCATTTGTATTCAATTAGTCTGTTTCTGAGTTGTATCTACCTCACATCCTACAAGCCACACAAAATTGTTCTACTGAAATTGTCAAACAAGCAGGGCTTAAAAAATGAATCTTTTACTATATTCAGACAATTGATGTAAATTCAAAACATGGCAAAAAAACTGTAATACAACCAGTAATTCATTTTAGGTCTATATTCATTGAAACAAGTTCTTGGAACCTAGTGCACACTAATGTTAAATGACTAGGCACAAACAATAGATACAACATTAATGGTGTTTATCACCAAGTGTCTTACATACCAAACTTTAGTTCAAAGCTCAATAAGATCAACATTAAAAAAAACTAAAGCAGTGAAAATGACATAATCAAATACTTGCTTCTCTGATGCTGTTTCTCACCTTGCTCACACGAAATTTTAAGAACATTTATTTCTAAAAACATAAATGCAATTCCTCTTTACTTGAAAGGCATTGTTTTCATCAGGTAAGTACAATTATCTAAATTATTTCTCCATACAATTACATCATTAAAAAAATTCTGAAGACACCTGCTGTCTACAAGCTACTTAACACAAATTAGAAATAAATTACCTAACGAAATTAATTTTCTAACTATAATGGAACTAAGTTCGATTAAAATAGTTTATTCTGAAGACCATCTGGAAACTTTACCAACCTTTGGTACTTTTGAAAGAAACTACAATATGTCATTCCAAAGCAGCACGAGAAACTCTTTTAATAGCTTAATAAAATTCAACTTAATTACCCTTCTACGGCCAATGACAATCGTGTAAACTAATAACCTCCAACACAGCACGTATTCACCTGTCAGTGGGCAACAATGATCACGGGTAAACAAAGGCAAAGCTATGCGATTCCGCACTCTATCATAATTGGTTGATCAAATGCCATAAAAAAGACGAAACACGTGAGAACGATATTTAGATAAACTTACCGGGGAAATTGTTAAATGTGACATCTAATTCCATCCGCCCTAAAAGCGGCTGGTTCTCTCGATTCGTCCGTGGAGAATCAATGGTGCCGCCGTTATTTGACCCAGGAGCGAAGCTCACTTCCGGAAGGAGAGAGATTTCGTCTGAGACTCCCGACGATGACAAAGACGCAACTGAATTAGCTCTGGACTTATCTTCTGGCACGAACTGTCCTTTCAGTTGCGATTGCTCGTCAGTCATTGAGGTAACACAATGCGGTCTCACACAGTGTACATGAGAGGTGAACTTGATATCAGATTATTACCTACACTATATTTCGCAACTGACGCATTTGCAAAACACAGTCACGAAATCGGACTGCGTGTACTTCATTTGGCGAACACAATAATTAACAGATACCAAATTTACTGGACGCAAAACAGATGTCATGTGAGGATTACAACTTGCACCATGGAAGTTTTATATCAAAGCATAAATAGCTACTGTACTGGGCTCCTTTTGCTGCGATGGCTCTGGCCGGGGTGAGTCGCAGGGTTAAAATTCGTCCACCACTCGCCGTCCAGCTAGACGTCCATCTCGTCTGCTTATACTCTTTGGCTTCGTTCAGAGCCATGCCATCTGGCGACACTGAGTAAACCAGCCCACTACGTGGCATGGTGGCGAACGATACCATTGCGGGGGGCGGCAGGTTCAAATTGCTACTAGAGCTACGACATGAAGTATCTCACATATCCACGGTAATGCATTGACTTATTACTTCCCACCGTACAGTAATGCATATCCCAGTATCTGTTGATGTACGACGATGAGAAAGCTCACCCTAAGGTTATGAAGACCAGAATATTCGGTGAAGGGATGTCTTCGTGCTAATCACAGGAACCCCTTATCCCATGGCCGAGAGGCTTGGTCACAACTGGACGGCCAAGGCTCAAAGCGGGCTGTTGATCTATACGACAGAGCAGAGGAAAGGCTATTGGCAAATACGTAAACTCGGAGGACCTGCGTTAAGTCCCGGCGCGAAAAAAAAATTGCTGGTTGAAAACACTTTTGCAGGTTCATGCAGTAGCATAGTATAACCGAACATTAGAAATAAAGCGAGAAAGTATGTTCTGTTGTAGCACCACCACTTGCATTAATTCTCTTCACACGCTAAATAAAATGTAAATCTAGCAGCGCCCAAAGCTAAATCGTATTAAAAATTTAGGGCTAATTTTAGGCTAATTCAGTGATATATTCTCGAATTTTGGTCTGTTGTGAATTCCCCAAAGTCCAAGACGCTGCCTGCTTTACTTTGGAGCTGAAACATATTTAAAAATCAGAAAATCACAATCAATTAATCATTGTAACTGTCTTCTTCATTAACTGGGATTACGCTTTCTTTTACAAACAATCCACTTAAACGATCGCAGCTGTGTGGAAGCAGCATCCCAGGGTGCGACTTCCGTTCGAACGCTCACAGTAATTTTGTTTCACAACCGATATGGCAGATTTCCATGGTTACACTTTCCGTGGTGGTAAGAGATGGGTGGGCTCTTCCGGTGCACCGATTTTTGCTCGTTCTGCGCAGCACAAGTTTGCGTCACAAACCACGTAACCACAGCACGGGTACTTCGTTTGAAAAGCCATACGGCCGCTATGTTGCATGGAGAGCGAGAAGTGTTGAGAAACATTTTGAAAGTGGCATAATGTGACAATTTTCCGCGGTGACCAACCAAAAATGATATGATGAAGGTGTAATTTAAATTAAAGATGTAATATTAAAAATAAATATTATTCGTTTATGTTTCAATGACTTATAACTGTGATAAATTTGGCATTTAAAATTCACGTTAATATGACCCAAACTGGTGCCTGAGTCTCATTGGCTTAAGTCGGATACGATGCGCAAGAGCCCACCTATCCCATTCCACCATGGATATTCCGATTGCGTTTGGTAATATTCAATGTAACACCTATAACATTTCGAGTTCATATGTCGTGATTGAACCTGTGTTTATATATTGGTAAAAAAATCCAATCACATTTTGGCGTGAATTTCTAATTTTTATACTAATAAAATTAGTTTTAATTATTTGTCACCATCGTCCACATTGTTTAAAAACCTGAAAATAATATGTCATAGAATGTTATGAGACACATTCTAGGGGGTGGGGACCGAATCAGTACTCCAAAATTATCATGTTGAAAATCAATTTCAAAAATGTATTTATTTTTTTCTATTTGAATTTGGCGTCAAAATTGGCTGAAATAATTCCTTCAAATTCAACTATTCTGATACATGTAATAGATGCTGAGAAAATATAAAAAAATGAGAAACGTTTCTCATTGTATCTCTGTAACTGGTTGCCTTACGAGGCTGATTTTCTGGAAATTTACGACATTTTTTATTCTCTTTCACATGATTATCAAGATAATCGGTAGTGTTTGGGGTCACTTTTCACCCCCTAATTCGACTATCCCTTTTGCGTGGAGTCTTCGTCAGTGCAAAACTGAAAAACTGAAGGTTTAAAATTTGGTGAACGAATGGTATGGCGAGAGCCCAGAAATCATCATGATGATTGTTATTTTTGTGCTATAAACGTCAAAGGGATCAACCGTCACAGGAAAAAGAACTGGGATTACCCTGATTTGAAATCTGCGAGGTAACCTGTGCCACATGGACCTGATGTTCTCTCACCAGTGTTTACCACACTCTCTGGAATTCCTGTGTCCAATTATGAGAACAAATTCTGGGGTGTAATTCACGAGTTAGCAGTGGCAGTGAATACGATGGAAGTGTAGCTACAAAAGAGCAATTCTCCTAAGAAGAGCTCAGTTACTTTATAGGTGACCACAGTTGGCCAAAACAAGCAGTCGAACTTTTAGCATCCAGACTCAAAGAGAAGAAATGTCTGACATCAGATGCGAAAATAACATACCTGGACTACTTGTTAATATGAGCGGTTCAGAATATCAACTCGCAGACGCGGATTATCATAGACAGTTACTCTCGAAGTTTAAAGTATGCTTTACTGCACAAGACAACTGCTATCCATCACTCATACCGGGAGAGATGGCTCAAGGCATCAACTGATGCCACAGCAGTCCTTCTGATGAGAAGGTCCCTGAAAAAGTCACTAACAGTCCCTAGAAGTAAACTTCGTACTCGAAATTGCAAGATATTTGTAATATTTAAAACTATCGCAAGCCTTTTCATCGAACGAACAGTAATTAGTAAATCGCTCGGTTTTAAACTCCTCATTCGAGCTAAATTCCATACATTCCATGGTTTCACGCTGATTACAATTCCTACTACCTTCACAATAATTGCAAACAGTCATTTTGGCACTTTTCAGGCTATGTTCATACCCATTACATGTAAAAAATCTGCATACATTATAGTGTTCGTTTATCACACATCTTTGCCATCCTACATATATCTTGCCTTATTCCATTGTCTCAAATCATCTTCTTAGAGATAACTCCACAAAAATATAATAAGCATCTAATCTGTTCTCTTGTGTAAACATAACATTTACTTCATCCATTCCTGTATCATTAAAATTGTGTTACGAATTATTCCTGTTGCACTCTTTACATGTAACCTCCCTTTACATGTAACCGCAACTACTTGTATCCGCGGATTTCGCATTTGTTGCGTTGTAATATCACAATTTCTCCCGAAATATTGTGTAATTCTCTACTTAAAGTAACAGTGGAATATTCATTTACATATTTTAATAAATTGCAGATTTTATTACTTCCCTACAATTGTTTTTCTCTATTATTTTATTAACACTAACTTCCAATTTGGATAAGTTAATTTTTTCGTTATCGAATTAAGAATTTCTCTGTTTTTCATTTCTTTAAGTTTAGTTTTTCAGTTCGTTATGATTGGAGGATGATCATTTTTATAATTTTCTGAAACTTTCAATTTGGGCGATCTATCTAATATTTCAGCGTTGGTTAAGATTTAGTATTTTGAAGTTCTGTGATTAGTTTATTAACTTTTTCATATAACAAGACATTTCCTCCACTAATTTCTTTAACAAACTGTTTTTATTTTCCCAACAATTTTGTTCATTACAACACTCTATTCTAGATTTATCTATGGTTTTATAATCTTTATTTCTTTCCAAACAAGGTATAAAAAATCTCACCACAATTTATGCATTGTCTCGTTTTTTGTTCTTGTAACAATTCAATCTTGTTGCAAAATTAATATCATCTTTATCTCCAAACATCTCTATTTACAATACAATACACGCACGTGCACGAATGCCCACACCCACGCCCATGCACACACACACGCGCGCACACACATATATAAAATTAAATACAGTACGTACATAAACTTTACTTCTTCTAAATAAAATGTTTTTAAAACAATTAAAACATGTATAGAATTGAATATTAAACGTTTTTATATTAATGCCGGTCAAAAAAAACTATATTTTTCACAGTAATACTCCAATACCTCGCGCCTAATTTCCACCTGAAGATTGAGGTTATGTGTCGCATGTCGCATTTGCTTTACTATCCAAAGGGAAGTAAATAGAAGTCCATCTACATATCAGAGTCTAAAGTCATCACAAAGAAATTCATTATAATTGTAAATTTTCTATTGTCATTGTAATCAATTACAAGCATTAAGTGTAGTTATTACAGACATCTTCGTATTTTCTCTCTTAATCACCTTACTCTCGACATTCTTCTTCATTAAATTATTGTTACACGTAATATTAATACATTATTATGTATTATACTTACCAGAATTATCAAGTAAATAGGTGGTAATTTCCTTTTCTTTCATTCTACATAAATAATTCTTGCACTACTAATCAACGAAAGACAACTGGAAACACGGCCACTTCTACTACATTTCCAACAGAAACAACATATTGTTAAAGCAGTTAAACTTTTAGACACCAGATATCAGCTGTCGTAATAGGTAGCGCGTGGAATATCTTTTCTCTACTGATACTGAAGTGAAGCAGAGCCGAAAAATATACCCCAAATTCCGAAAATTATAGTATAATTTAATTTTTGTTTTAAAATATCACAAAAGAGATATAAATGTGGTAAATTATTTGATTTTACAAAATGTTATTCAAATGTGTTAAAACTACAAAATGTAATAAAAATAATTATCAAAAAAAGTGAAAGTTTTTGTTATATTGTTTTCAAAATATTCATTTGTAATTTATTATTAATATATCAAAAATTTACTATTTATGAACCAGTATTTTTTTAGGTAAGCCAAATTTGCAGTGAATTGTTCACAAGATTTAATAAATGTAAATGTAAGAATTTATCTGTTTGCTGAAAGATATTTTTTTCGGATAAACATTGCATACGTACGGAATAGTAAACACATGTCGTGTTGCCGTTTTACAAATGACTGTCTCGAACAAGGGGTCTGTAAATTCTTTGGAAATATTCATTACAAGATGGCATTAACTATTTGATTATATTTCTTGCCGTTCCCAAGTATTCTTTTTGTCAATTTTTGTTAAAGTACCTTATTTTCTTGTTAACTTCACCCTATATTGAATAAAATAAGTCAAATATACTAACATGATA